CCCCCCCCCCCCCCCCCCCCCGGGGGGGGGGGGGGGGGGGCCTTGTCTGTTGTACTTAAGCTAAAGAACGAGAATTTCTCACAAAAATATGAGAAAAAATGTGTATTTATAAAACTTCAAATATAATAGGAACACGCACACACCGGACGGGCGTGCAGGCGAGCAGTGTGTGTGTGTGTGTATATACGTGCGTACGGCTGACATTTTTCTAGCCTACAAATTCCATGTTTTTATATATACAGTGTCCAAAAATTACATTCATTTTATGCAACTTCTTTTGTTAATAACTTCTTAACGAACAACGAGTGATGGCTAAATCCTTTTGAAGGTTACTCAAAGTCATCACCTTTACATATATCAAGGTCAATGTCATTCGAGGGAGGTACATTAATATAAAGGTTTACCCAGATCTTTTCTTCAAACCTTAAAACACTAATTTTATCTACTTTAAATTAGCCATTTTGAAATTATCGAGCTTTTTATGATAAGATGTCCAATTAACTGTAAAATTGGTAATTAATAAAATAATAAAATCCAGAGAATTAGACCGGAATATGCAGGCATGATCCGGCATGTGTAGTACATCGAATCATGTCGCTCTGTTGATAGTGTTATCAATTTAAATGGTTTTCTTTAAGCTGTATCATTCTCGCTCGCAAGTTCAGATATGAATCCTATCGTATTTTATCGTATTTTATCTGATTATATACGATTTTGTATTCTATAGAAAAGTAACAATAGGAATTCCATCACTATCTATTGTATTCCATTATATACGATAGAGTACGATAGAGTATTCATATTTTGTAAATTCACGAACCAAAATCCATATTCAAAATAGATATTCAAAACGATAGAAAATAATTATTTTATTCTATCGTTCTCTATAAACTTTTTTTACCAGGGCGATCTTATCTTAATTAGTTAGACAATTATCGATTTTGCTTTCGTTGGCATCCTCCAAAAGTGTGACGAAAAGCTATAAGAATATGCAATAAATAATAAGGAAATTCCATTTAAAAAATTCAAGGCAACCTTGTTCTGACTTTGGCGATCTTCGTCACCCAAGGTCAAACTGATAAGATCAGTAAATAGATCTTTTTAAACCTTACAACTTTTACCTGACACATTTTTTTTATAAAACTTAATATTTTTCGATATTTCGGGATATTTCGGGATCCCAGAACTTTTGGCTCAACCTGCATATACACACACATATACACACAAAAGTTCCAGGTAGCAGACTCACGTCAAAATGATGTCCAAATCTGGTCATGACCAAAAATGTCGTGAAGATGTCGTCAAAATGACGGTCTAATGTCACAGATCGATAACGACATTTTAAGACGACTTAATGACGTCTCTAAACGTCCCCACACAGCAGGAACGTCCCAAATATATCATAAGGATATCTTGAAGATATCGCATATCCCAAATATATCCTTAGGATATCCTTGTGATATATTTTGGACACCTCTGCTGTGTGAGGTCAATAATACATCATTAAGACGTTGTATAGAAACGTCATTAAGACGTCACAAAAAAGACGTCTTAAAAACGTCATTATTTAGTCACTTGACGTCAATCGACCAGTTATGACCTCTCACGTTTGGGGTGCTTGTTTACCGTGAGTCCCCTTGCCTCTCACTATTTAACAATTAGGCAAGGGGACTCACGGTAAACAAGCACCCCAAACGTGAGAGGCAAGGGGACTCACGATAAATAAGCATCCTAAACGTGAGAGGCAAGAGGACTCACGATAATCAAGCACCCCAAAGAAAACAGAACTTACTATGTCCACGTCGTTGTTTCTGGGTAATGCTAAAAGTAAGATAATCGCATTTAAACAAACAGCTTCTGAGAGCTTTTAAAACCTTGATTTGACCTTCTAAAGGTCAAAATAAAAAATTTAAAAATTTCTGACGTAAAATTTCCCGCTCTCTTCGAATCCGGTGTCAAAAGTAGACGGCGATATCTGGGGAATATGGTGGGTGGGGAAACATTTCCCAGTTCACTCCTTCTAAGTACTTCTTGAGTAATCTAATCTAAGTACTGGTTGAGCGGCCTTGTCGTGCTGCAAAATCAACTTGTCATTGCGGTTTTTCCATTTCGGTCTCTTCTCGTGTAGAGCTCGCTTCAAACGGACCAGTTGCAGTCGATAACGATCCCCAGTGATGGTTTTCGACGGTTTCAGCAGCTCATAATGCACGACACCCCTCTGATCCCACCAGATACAGAGCATGACCTTACTTATGGATATTTCTTTTTGGCGTCGACGGACTTGGTTCTCCGAGACGTACCCATGCTGCTTTTCGCTTCGGATTGTCGAAATAGATCCATTTTTCATCTCCAGTCACGATTCGATGGAGAAAACCTTTTCGTTGTTATCGTTTAAGCAACAGTTCATAAATGGTTTTCTGGCGTTCAATATCCCATTCCTTCAATATATGGGATACCCAATTTTCTTACTTGTGCACCCGTCCCAGCGTCTGTAGTCGTCTGGAAACTGTTGATTTATCTATATTTAAGGCTTCGGCCAACTCCACCAGCGTTTGACTCGACTCTTCGTCCAATAATGTGTCCAATTCCGTGTATTCAAATATTTTGGATGGTTTTCCACGGTCCTTGTTGTCCATAGAGAAATCACCACTTTGGGAACGGCGAAACCACTCTTTGCACGTTGTACCCAGATAGCACAGAGATGTTCCTAGAGAATTCATTTTAAAAAATAGATATAGAAACAAAAGTTCCTAGAGAATTCATTTTAAAAAATAGATATAGAACTAGAAAAATGAATACCCGAAGAATTCTTGAAAAATTAACCACAATAAGTTCGTCTTGAAATATTCCTTAGGACTTCATTATAGCGAATACTTCGCGACTTAATTCCTAGAACACTTTAAGAATTCGTAAACGTAAAATAAAGCAGAAAAAAACGTAAACGTAAGGCTTTCATGACTTACGTTTATGTTTACGTTTTTCTCTGTCTTACTTTACCTCTACGACTACGTCGCTTACGTCTCGTTCTCTGCCTTAGCCCTTACAAATGTTTTGTTTATAGCAACTACTTTTTGCGCCTATATTCAGTACATGTCAGTGAGTGTATAATAATTAATTTACATATAAATTGTTTAGTTTATTGTTATTTACAGTTATTTATATTTTGTGGAATTAATTATATAGTTTTATATAACAAGGCAAAGAAGGGGAATTGGTATTAGAATAGCTTTTCATATATAAAATGTTCACTTGTATCAATAATAAATAGATTTATGCGAAATATATTTTATCCTTAAGTTTGTATTCATGTTTCTAAAATTCATATACAGTGCTAACAAACTCAATCGTATTATTTGAAAGCTATTTATTTTTGGATTTTGAATTATATATTTAAAAGTGCGCTTTACTTACATTTGTAGCTCAGTTAGAACAGTATATATCCAGCGTAAAATGACTCGTTGACGTCAAAATGACATCAAATAGACATTGAAATTGTCAAACCGAAGTCAATTTGATATCATTCTGACGCCAATCAATAAATCCTTTTTTCACTAGGAATATAGATGTCACAAACATGAAATCTTAAATAGCTCAGTGGAAAGAGCGGTTGTCTGGCAAACGGAAGACACCCGAGTTCGATGTCAGCCGATCTGATGTTTTTCATCTCATATGGTATTAAAAGTAGACATCTACAAATACACACAAGCACCTCCCGGCCAAAATTTCTGATCTTTCTTTCTTTCGCAATAAAATTTATTAAATCCGAAGAAATCTTTTTGAGTTAAAGTAATTCTATATGAATACTCTAAGAAGTTCTAAGGAACTCCAATCATGGTGCATGTAACTTCCTAAATCATTCTTATAGTATTCTTCCACGGAAAGGAGACAACTTTAGATACACTTAAAGAATTCATCGTGCTATCTGGATATTCAATGGAGCATGTTCGACATACACTTCCTTTAGCAAACGATGCGTTTTCGCGGGCGATTTTTTTGTCAGGAAATAATGGAGCATAACTTCCCGCAAATGTAACACAATTAAAATAGATTATGTTAACGCGTCGCACAAATGTCACCTATGGCGTTTTGGCGGGACTCTATAGACTTGTCATCATGTGTATTGCCAGCTTTCCATTCGAAGAATAGTGTACCTAACGCCATCTATTGCCAACGGGCAGTTTTATTTGCAACCACCTAATATATATATATATATATATATATATATATATATATTTTTTTTTTGTATTGTTGTATATATATATATATATATATATATATATATATATATATATATATATGTATATGTATGTGCATGTGTGTATAATATTTCTGTTTATACGACACGCTACCTAGCAAACACAATGTTACATATAACGTATATACATTACTTACATTTATTTATTACATTACTCTATATTCTTATTTACTTACATTTATTTGTTTGTTTACATTTAGTTAAAATACTGCATTTGATTTTTCTTTGACAATATCTTCTTTCTTACATGCTTATATCAGGTAAATCGGTCTTTACAATGTCTCTCGTCTGTACCATCTCCGCAGTCGTCAACTCCGTTACATTTCATCCCTTTCGTAATGCATCTACCATTTCTATATATAACAAAAATATATGTATAAAATATCGATATACTTAAATATTGAACTCTCTTGATATACAAATTTTCGGACTCTTTTCTATTGTAAAAGATTTTTTTGTCAAAAGTTTTAAATTGCAATAGGCTGAGTTTCTATAAATCCGAAACTTTTAAAATTTTGGACATTGTGCTGTCTGGGAAAGATAGAATCGAATTTTTTTTTATTAAAAATTTTTAATAATATTAAATATTTATATTTAATAAGTTAAATATAAATGTTAAATATTTACACAATATTCATTTATTTTTTTATACAATTGTATGTGTAAAGTTCAATATTTACAGCTTTTGGACTCGGCGCGAAACTTTTGATTCATGACATCAAAAGCGAAAAAATTTACGTTTAAAATCTATAAACTACGTTAAAATAAAAAGATATATCTGCAACTAATATATGATATCTGCAACTAATTAAGCATATCTCTAAAGTATTTTAAACACTTTCCTTTTGTTCCTTTTGTGTTGTTAAAAGAACATTCAATAAACGATTATCAAATTTACGTAACATGCAATTTTTTTTATTTTACTTTTTCTCATAATTTTGTTACTTTTTACATACAATTCTCATGATTTTGTCAGAATTTTATGGTTATTTATTGATTGTTAAAATAAAAAGAAAATGATCGAAGTATTTTGGAGGTATGTTAATCGATTGAAAATGTGATTTTTTTATACATCTTTTTATTGCAATATCCTTTGCAGGAATTTGGGCATTATTATTTTCTCGCTTCTTACGTCATCAATCAAGATGGCCGCAGCGAGTACCCATGAGCTTTAATAACTATTATTTTATAAAAGAAATTTATATTAATTTATTATAGTATGTAGTTTTCTTAAGAACTTTCCTCAGATAGCATGAGTTCTAAAAACGACGCATAAGATGACTTTAAAATGCCTTTTAATCATCTTTATGATATATCTTTTAGACCGTGACATAAATATAACTAAAAAATATCTTAAAATTATCTTATGCGCCATTTTTAGAGCTCGTGTTATCTGGGTTAAAAAAGCTTTCTTAAAAATTTAAAAACATTAACTTACTGGCATGTAAATTCGTGTTTATTGCATCTGCCTTGGCACCCATGAGGCTCATCTGATCCATCACTACAATCTGTTAGCCCATCACAGAAGCGAACTTTCGATATACATTCCCCGTTGTTACAAGTAAATTCACTCTCCAGGGGACAAGCTGAAATAAAAATTGGATTTGATAGATCAAAGTTTGCAACGTATAATCTACATTTACTCATTATTTCGTAAAATATTCGACAATTTAATTTACATTTGTGACCTATTGACAAACTAATGTTAAGTTTGAATATCTAATTTTCAGCATTTCATAACATATAAAAAATGTATTTAATAAGCTACTTTTTATTTATATCTTTTTACCTATTATAGTGTATTTAATCTAGAACAAAATATTATATAATAATTATGCGATAAATATCAGCAAGCCGTTACAGATCATGCAACACTCTTCTACCAAAAAGAGCATACCAAGTGTTTTCAAATACATATAATTACTATAATATATATAATATAATATATTACTCTATGATATATAATATATACAGGGTGTCTCAAAACAATCTACGAAGCTTTCATGAGAACGTAGAGCGGGTTAAAATAAATATAAAAGTCCTATACCTTTTTGCGATATTTGTAATAATAACCAAGAAATTAATTATGTAAGATTAAGAAAAAGCGTGTGCTGAATAAACGGACCGCTCGAGTCACAGCCCAGTAATAGAAGAAAGTAGCCAAAAGCGACATAGGCCTCCTAAAGCGACATACCTCTATATCTTAAATATTAAATGTTATATTTTATCGAAACTAATATAAACGTAATCCGCTTTATCAGTTAAGTCATAGAAGGAGGAGGGCATACTAGGTGGCGGCGGGACGCCGTGCATTCGAGATCTGCGTATCTTTTCGTTCCAGAGAGAGAAAAATATCGAAAGCGCGGTTCTCCTAGGCCGGGACTCGAAACCCGGGTCTTTCGCTTGCCGGGCGACTGCTCTAAACCACTGAGCTACCTGACGCTCCACGCTCACGACACTCTCCTCTCCCTAGATAACGCTCAGAGATGTCGTTTGGGAGCGACATCTCTGGACAAAATTCTACAAAATTCATACTTGATATATTTCTTGTTCATTTATATGCTAAATTAGCAAATATCGAGTTTTAGAAATTCGTAAGTTCTACTTCTATGATTTTTATTGATGAATTACGTAGAGTAAATAGCGATAATTATCATTTTGTTCAATATTAAGTTCTTCTACATGCATTTGGCTTTTGTAAAAATATTTTTTGAATATTATTACCTTCATCATCACTTCATCATCACCTTCATTACTTTTTTAATGTATAATTTGAAAAATTTTATAAAAATGTGTCTTAAAATGACATACCTACAGTATGCGATAGGTACGATACTATGTGACTAATATGTCTTGATTATTAACCTCCCATTGTAACATGACATTTGTTTATTTTAAAGTTTAATTTTATTTAGTTTAAAAATATAACATATGTAAAATATGTGATAAAATGAAAAGATGAAAAAAGACATGTATTTATTTAATTATATTTCCTTTTTGTAACATTATATTTTGAATAAATGAATATTATTCAACTATTAAACGCATTAATGAACTATATATTATCAAATATTATCATATATGCGACATTGTTATATAAATTCCAACAGGTATGTCGCTTTTGGCACCTATTTTCTTTGAACTCCATTTTCGTGCGTTTTACGGAAATATTTTTTATTTTAAATCTTGAAACAATTTCAATAAAAATGTGATATCTGATAGGAGGTACTTCCAACTACATGTATATACAGGGTGTCCCGCGTAAGACGTATGAAAAAAGAAAAATATAAATAAAACACATAAAACTGAATAAAAATTGTATAGGTCATTTTTTAAACAACCATGTAAAATTTTGAGATATTAATTAAAATAGTTGGGAATATCAGAGCACGGCAACGCAGCAGGCGGACATATGGCTCGCCGCGGCCGGCAAAGAAAATGGAAGAACGCACACGTACACGACGCGCATACGGAGCTACTCATTTCAGTATGCCAAACGGTCCACCTCTCTGGCCTATAAGATAGACCCGCGAGCAATCGTCCATTTTTTTCGCCGGCCCCGGCGAGCTGTATGTCCCGCCTGTCGCCGCACTCTGATATGCCCAACTATTTTAATTAATATCTCGAAATTTTACGTGTTGTTTGAAAAATGACTTATACAATTTTTGTTCACTTTTATGTGTTCTACTTATATTTTTCTTTTGGTCCGTCTTACGCGGGAGACCCTGTATATTCTACTTATATTTTTCTTTTCGTACATCTTACGCGTGACACCCTGTATATTTACATTTATATTTTGAGCTTTATATTAAGACATAACATCTGAAAACAAAATAGTATGTCGTTTTTGATGCTTTTACTCTATAGCGCGCGGATGTTGCGCGTGATGATTGGGAGACAATGCACCACTGCTTATATTGCTGTGCTCCTACATCTCGCCTCGGCGCAGTGCGGCAAGACATAGGAACGCAGCGGTATAAGTATAAGCAGTGGTGCGTTGTCTTCCAATCGTCACGCGCGACATCCGCGTGCTATATTACTGGGCTGCGCTGTGACTCGAGCGGTCCGTCCTCTACCATTCAGTACATGCTTTTTCTTAACATTTCGTAATTAATTTCTCGGTTATTATTACAAATATCGCAAAACGGTATAGGACTTTTATATTTATTTTAATCAGCTGTACATTCTCACGAAAGCTTCGTAGATTGTTCTAAGACACCCTATATAGGGTGTCCCGAAATCCCATGATGACCCTTGGTGAGAACATAGGACGGATTGAGGTGAGTAAGAAAGTCCTATGTCGTTTTGCGATAGTTTTCGCAATAGTTTTCGAAATAGTTTTTGAGAAATCAATTATTTTGTCTCAACAAATTAGCGTACAGAAAGCGGCAGCGGAAAGAAAGATGCCTTCGGCCGACGTGCGACCGTGACACTCGCGAATCGTATTTCGCCGCGTCCCTCCGCCCATAGCTACGAGACATAGACTTGCTATGCCTCGTAGTTATGGGCCCGGCGAGATGCAGTTCGCGAGATGCGAACGCAGCGGTATAAATATAGGCGGTGGTGCATTGTCTTCCAATCACCGCACGCGACATCCGCGCGCTATATTACTGGGCCGCGCTGTGACTCAAGCGGTCCGTCCTCTACTATTCAGCACATGCTTTTCCTTAATCTTTCACAATTAATTACTCGACTATTATTACGAATTTCGCAAAACTGTATAGGATTTTTATGTTCACATCAACCCATTCTACGTCCCCACTAAATGCCCGCAGGAGAGTGTGAGACACCCTGTATACAGGGTGTCTCAAAATTTTAACACACCAACTCCATAGGGGCGTAGAGCTAAGCAAGAGGATCAAAAAAGTCCTCTTCTATTTAACGATAACGCGTCTAGTTTGTTAGTAATAACCGCGTAAAGTTCGGCGTTTGTCACGCATATCGCGGCCTATGGACGCTCCGCGGCGAGCTGTGTGCGTCGAAGCTGAGCGGTAACGCGGCGCGTTTATCGTCGTCTCGCCGCGCACCGGTAGCGTCAAAGCATCAAAACGCCATCGCGGCAGTCAGCGCGAGCCGCGTTACCGCTCAGCCGACGCACACAGCTCGCCGCGGAGCGTCCATAGGTCGCGATGGGCGTGACAAACGCCAAACTTTACGCGGTTGTTACTAATAAACTAGACGCGTTATCACTAAATGGAAGAGGACTTTTCTGATCCTCTCGCTTAGCTCTACGTCCCTATAGAGTTGGTGAGTTACAATTTTGAGACACCCTGTATCACCTTCACAATCTCTCGTGAGGACGTAGAGCGAATTAAGATGAACACAAAAGACCCATACCAAACGTAAAGTTTTGCGATATTCTCAATAATAGTCGAAATATTAATTAAAAAAGATTGATGAATGATAATGCGCGATATGGTAGATAAGCTGCAATTGCGCCGTCTACCGTTGTATACTTGTAGTAAGTCAAACTGAACAAAAAAATCCTCTACCATTTTGCAAATGACAACATAGATTTTTAGACATTAATCAAAGAAAATTGTTACATAATTATATACCATAATGTATAAATTTTCTTTAATTAATATCTAAAAATTTATGTTGTTATTTGCAAAATGGTAGAGGACTTTTTTGTTCAATTTGACTTAATGTACAAGTATACAACGGTAGACGGCGCAATTGCAACTTATCTACCATATGGCGCATTATCATTCACCAGTCTTTTTTAATTAATATCTCGACAATTATTGAGAATATCGCAAAATGTATGGGACTTTTGTGTTCATCTCAATCCGCTCTACGTCCTCACGAGAGATTGTGAAAGTGATACGGGACACCCTGTATATATATATATATATATATATATATATATATATATATATATATATATATATATATA